TCATCACTCTGTTGACCACTTCTCCTCCATATACAGGAAGCCTATGCATAGTGGTATGTACATACACTTCTCTTGCCATCCTCTCCATGTAAAGAGAGGTGTTGCCACGTCGCTGTTCCTCCGCATCTGTGACCCCCAGTACTTGAATGGAGAGATCGACTTTCTGCGTCGTTCGTTCTCCAAACTAGGCTACCCTCGTCATGTCCTCGACGCCGCGCTATCCAGAGCACGGCGGACCTTCTACCTGCCCGTCCTCAGCCTGCCCTACACGGAGATCAACTCTCTCCGCCGCCCTCTTCATACTTTCAACTGCAGGCTGATCTTTCGCCAGGTGAACACTCCGTCGTAACCTGGTCCACACCAGTCCTTCCTCTTCCTCGAAGGTGGGCACCTATGCTGTTCCTTGCAGCTCCTGTAACAAACAATACTTTGGCGAGACGGGCGCCAGTCTCACAAAGCGCCTGTCTCAACGTAAGTACGCTATATCCAGGGGACACAACAACAACGCTCTCCTCCGCCATCAGTGGGATACAGGCCATCAGATGGACTGGTCAGCGGCGCGAATTGTCTTTCCTTCCGCTGACGTCCACGCCCGCAGACTGGTAGAATCCTCCTTAATAAAGCTGCTGCCTAATTTCAACTTGAACAGCGGCTTTTCTCCCGCCGACAGTCTCCTGGCTTCACACATCCTCCGCCTTCTCCCGTACGCCGGCTATCCTGCACACATTCCGCCCGACCCTCCGACCTGATCTGACCTCCCTTCGCTTCCGTCCGTCTGTCCTCACCTGCCCCGTGTCTCCGCGTTGCCTGTCCTCTCTCTCTTTTACACCCCTTCCTCTCCCTTTCCTCTTCAGACCTGAGGATTCCGAAACTGTCGTCTCATCTTCAATAAATTTAGTTTTTACAGTGTGGGTTTTTCTACCATAGAATCAACACGGTAGAGTGTTTTCATCATTCACACACACACACACACACATATATATATATATATATATATATATATTCATATGTAAATATACAGATAGATATAGATATACATTCATATATATATATATATTTATTTATTTATCTTTATGATCATATATAAACATGAATATTTACAGACACGTCTCCTTCCTATATATGTTTATCTAAGTATATATATAAATATATATATATATAATTTATATTTACACACACATATCTATATATTTAGCTTACACGTCTATCTCTTTCCCTTATATACATACATTTTATATATATACATATATATACATACATGAACACACACACACACACACACACATATATA